GAATGCCAGTCCATCTCTGTCGGCATGGCAACATGCTGAACTGATGCCGATTAAAAATAATCAGCCAAAATAAATAAACAAAAAGAACCAGAGGTGCAGCACAGAGAGAGGTGTGTGTGGTGGAGACAGGGTGAGATGCTAAAGCCAACACTGCCGTGGAAGGAAATGTTGATAAAACAAAACCTTTCGTTTACTCTGAGCTCATTTTCTCCTTGCCTCATTCAGCGTATCAGAGACTGGGTGCAAAACTGGATTGCACTATTTCTGAAAGACAACCAGCTAATGAGAAGTCTTCTCAGTAACTGCCAAGGCAGCTCAGTTTCAAGGAGTTGAGGGAGCTGGGCTCACCTGTCTTGAAGTGCTCCTCTTCCTCTTTTAATGTCTCATATGCCCGTAAAGTGTCATGCTATCCCTTTGAATCAGGGAGTCCAAATACCCTCCCTGAGTGGCTTGGGTAATACTGTCATCACCTGGCAGCTATCTCGGTACTGTGCCCACCCTATAATGTTGACCCTTGTAACCTCTTCAGTTGCTTTTATTCTCATCTAGTAGGCATTCCTTTAAATAACATATCTGTTATTTAAGTAAGGTGATTTATATAGTTGTCTATTCCCTGGGACATCTAAAGGTCTAGTTAGTCTAAGATTATGAACATATCAAGATACAGATATCTAAAAAGCAGTCAGCTGAAAACCTCCGTGCCCTAGAAAAAACTGTATACCCAGGATATTTCTTTTTCCAGATCATGAACTGCTTCAGTGCCTTTAATAATTTTCTATAACTTTGTAATGCAAACCTGTGACATTACTTTGTTTCACAAAACAAGTAGATTTAAAGGAGGAACTATTGCAGATGATTTCTCCTCAGGTGCTCGAGTTCATCCCTAAAGTACAAACGTTTCTTTTACTCGAGCACTTCAGCCCCTTGCCTCTAATAAGAAAAACAAAAAAATAAAGAAAAAGGCAAAGCTACAGGGTCCGCAGGCATGAAAAGATGGTAAAATATTGCATACGGACTCAAAAACTGATGAATTGCATCACACAGCACTTCAGTAGTTTCAATTCTCCAGTAAAACCAACAAGAGCATCTAATGTGTCTAGTATGTCTACAGGCATCGGGCCAGGTGATCAGAGATATCTGTACCTCCATCTGTGAAGCACGAGTACATAATTTAGGCATGTAAGGCATTAATCACACCAGGCATGTCAGATTGCAAAGGTATATTGTAGATACACATCCAAGTGACCTTGTCATGCTCCCACACTTCACAGGCTTACATACCTACATGAAGAGCTTGTTTAGACATACGTGTGTCTGAAGTTCAAGGCCTTTTTGATCTAAGGAAATAACGCCATTTAACTCAGTTACAATGCAACTGTGCTTCCCGTTACTATCTTCATAAGTGACTAGCCTCCAACTTCAAAATATATTCTGCAGTTGAAGTAGGCTAGATACTGTAAGAATCAGTAATACATGGCAAAATTTCGTTGTGAATCCACCCTGAAATAAATCTCCTGAATTTCCCAGTACAGGATTGACAACTTTTAGAATTATCCTTGTGTTATAAGTGCAGCATCTAGCTTGTATAATAATCCAGCTGCCCAAGAGATTGCGTGGTGGAATCACCAGAGGTTTCAGAAGCATCTTAATACAATTGTTACCAACACTTAAAATTTGCACTGAGTAGCACTCAGCGCAGCTCATCAGGAAGCGGTCTCCCTTGCACTGGCATGGGCTTGCAGACAACCAAGAAACACACCCCATCATAAAAGCTTTCAAACCATGTGTCAGGTTCAATTTCATGAGAAACCTCAGAGTTTCATTGTAAATCCCTAAAGTTAAGTAAACAGAACCTATATTCCCCATTCCGTAGGACTACCAGAAAAGGAAAAGCTTTTAGAGAACTCATACATTGCACATTGTAAACTTCTCAACACTTAGTTTTCAAGCCCTAATATGCCCACGTTTCAAGTGTTAAAGTCCCAGACCTGGCCTTCCTGATAGCCTACAACCCTCTGTTGTTAGGAGCAGTCTTCCCTTTCATCTATACAATTCAATTGGTTTAGCTAAGGCAATTGCAAGCAATGTCACTGTCATATCATAACAAAAAGCATAATCTCCATGTCCTGCTATACATATCAAATCCCAGTTCTCTACCTCAGAGCTCATCTGCCAGTTGGTAAGTTGGCAAGTGACTATTCATGCACTTAAGGGGAAAAATATACCTGCCAGGTTTCACATCAGGTGTTGGCAAATTGCTAAATATTCACAGTAAGCTGTCTGCCTAGGTAAAAAAGTAATAAGAATTATACTTAACTGACCAAAAATACCATACACAATAAATGGTTACTAAAAAAAGAGAATTTTTGTATATGCACAAACACGTCATGCCTCCTCCCTCCGCTACTTAATTACTGACCCTTTGAAATCTGATGCAGTCTTCATGCATCAATCAATTGAAGACAGCGGAACAGAAGCTACAGACACCCATCACTTTGCAACAGTAGACTAGCACAATTAATTAGGTATCGGTGTAGCAAAATCCAAAAAGGTTTTTGATGTGCACCAATAATTTCTGTATTTGAATGTAAGCAGCCTCTGGCACAAATGGACTGTTGGATACAGAATGCCTGTGTCACTTCACTTGATGGATCTACATCCTGGACAATGCCCTCCGTTAGTAACAACAATAGTTGGAAAGAGCTATTTGTTTTCAATCAGCAGGGCCACTAAGTCATATTATATTCAAAATACAAAGTATTGCAAAATATTGCAGAAAAAACGCCATAAAGATTTAGAAAGAAAATAGCACAAACTAGCCAAAAGCTTAAATATTAAAAAAAAAAAGAAAACCAACATTTTAACTATTTCATTAGTATGCTGTCTTTTCTTGAAATCACCCGAGTTATATGAAGGTTAGAAGTAATGACAACCAACATATCAGCTAGGGACATGGTATTTAACTCCTCCTTTGGGCTCCAGTGTCAAAACATAGATTCTGAAATCTCCACTCACTTTTTGCCTTATCTCAGAAGAACCTAGGAATTTCCAACATGTAAATTCTCCAAGTATTATCTGAGGCAAGCCACAGCCATAAGCACCTTGATCTCAGTAACAAAGTGGAGTTGGAAAGACAATTAGATATTTGGGGTTGATCACTGAAATTTTCTACTCATTGTTCCTTTAACACATTACATCATAGCTGCTGTGATTTGGTTTTTTAGCTTATTTCCTCCTCCATCAGCAAGGAGCACTTCAGAAGTTTCCTCTGCAGCCACGAGCGGAGAGAGATGACGTGTGTTTGTTGTTGCGTCTCACAGATTGGCCGAGCGCAGGCGTAGCTCTGTGGTAGTGAGTCTGCCGGGACTCGAGGTGTTCCCTGGAGACCTCCTGGTGTCAGACAGTGCCATGGACTACTTGCCCCACGCCGCCCTGCTGCTAAGCGCAGGTCAGACACAGGGTGGGGTTTGCTTGTCTGAGCCCAGCAAAAGCCACAACTGAAATACGTGTGCATCTGGGATGGGGAGGGAGGATCAGTGCAACAATGACATGCAAGGCAGCACAGCCTCCACGGGGGATTCTGTTACCCCACACCGAGGTGACTGCATCACTAATTTTAAAACTCCCCTCTTTTTTTTTTTCTTGTCTGCATCTTGTTTTTAAATGCAAAATGTAAGAGGTAGCTGAGGGGGGCAGGACATGGATCACCTCCCTCTTCCACAGGCTAGAATCAACCAGAGCCCAGGCCAGGATCTCCATGTGCAAGCAGCTGAGTTACAAATTCCTACCTGCACAGCTTCAAGCAGAGGGAAGAGAGTGGCCCATGCCACCCTTTCCAGTAGTGCTCTGATCACAAGGGTAGCAGACCCAACTCATGGCTAGAGGTTGCTCACAAGAACTTCCAACGCTGCTTGCAGGTCTACATTTCAACTTCCACAAATACTCTTGTGGACTATAGTATAGCGTGCAGTGTGTTTGCCAGACCAGAAGATGCTGGTGACCAGAGATCAAAATTCTCTCAAAAAATAAATAAGTCAAGGTCACAACCAGCAGCTTCATGAAAGCAAACAAGCCAGCCATCCCCAGAAAGAATGAATCAGTTCTTCAAAATCCAAAAGGACAAAGTTTCAACTGCGATTCCCAGTCACACACAAGCGTGAAGGTAGGTGCCACATTTAGAAAACTCTTTCAAATTTCTTGCTGAACAAACACGGGCATTCCTCACCAGTGCATCCTACATCTAGATCCCCAGCTTTCCCTGTGCCTCGCTAAGGACTATGAATTACATCCTGCACCACTGTGCCAGCCCCATGACAGATCTGAGGCTTAGGGTTTGTAGGACTGTTTATTCACAGGAGTTTTAAATACCTGCATAGCTCCAAGATATCACTAATGAGCAGACATAGCCTAATTCTTGGTTCAAAACAAAGGGTATCTTCAAGAATTGGCCTGAGGTATGATGTGTTTTCCCAAGTAAAGAATTGGCAATCACATACTGATCATCTGCAGCATGTGGGAGTGTTTAGCATCATCCAAGATCCCATCACAGATAGACATAATTCTTGCTGGGAGGAATCCAACAGGCTTAATAGGTTTTAAGTCTGGTGCACAAACTGCCTAAACACAAGTATTAAATCTGAGCCAAGTAAAGTATAGTATATCAGGCTTCACCTAAAAAAAACCCAACCAACCAAACAAACAAAAACAACAACAAAACCACACATATAAATAACAGTTTTATTTTTAGCTATTTGTTTCTTTACTGATAACACATTTGTTTTACCCAGAGTCCAAAAAGCCGAGGTGGCCATTTGCCAAAAGAGGAGTTGTGAGTATTTCACCACATTTTTTTCCTTGCACTGACCTTGCCTTCTCCCACAACTAACTCGGGTGAAAAGAGTTTCTTTACTTTATTGCCCTTGGAGAAAGGCAGCCAGCAGGTGAGCTGAACTCAGAGGTCTCAGCCCACCCTGGGACTGCCTGGACACTAATCTGCAATGAAGGTAGGGTGGCTCCAGTGCAGCCACCAGTGCTCCTGCACGTGATGCACATGAAAACACGGTCAGCGCCACTGCTCCCCATCCCCATGGGTGGTGGGAGGGGAGGTGCACTTGGCACCAGGAGGGCAGAGCGGGGTGGGCAACGTGGGAGCTCTCATTCAAGGTGTTCAGTGGTGGCAGCAGGCCCAGTGCAGCTCCCCAGTGCAAGAGAGCACGAGGTGGGTAAGTCATCTGCATCGTTGCTTTGAGCACACTGTATCCTGTATTTTCTGCATGCCAACCTAGACCTTAGTGCCGTAGGGCTCTGGAGTATCTGCCTAACTCCCACTCACATGGGAGGAATCTAGCCTTTACCTATCAAAGTAGCTTTTTAGATGCTTTCTTAGGCCTTTTCTGTCCTTGTGGGCACCCTCACATTCTCCAGCAAAAGCATACAGACCAACACACTTCAGTTAATTTCCTTGTCTAACACATTTCCTTGTCTTTTCCAGTTACAAAAATTTTCACTTACTATGGTATCTGAATTTCCTTTTTGAGTGTTGTTCATCATTCAAAAAATCATTTGCAAGTGTCTTGATAACTTTGCACCCCTAAACATGCAATTGTGAACAGTCCCTTCCTAATATTTTTTGCATTTTATCTTCTGAATCTCAACTATCAAAGAAAAGTTTGCGCAAGTGAAACCAATGCAAGTACTCAGATTCCCACTTCATTTGATAGCATTTCTATAGCATTTGAAGGAGCATGGCCTCAACCAGAGAATTTTTAAATTCAGCAAAATATTTGAAACTTGCAATAAAATGCATTTGATATTTAGCCAAAAGTGATTTCTGAGACTATTAAATGTCATAAAATATAATTTATGAAGATTCATTTGCTGATGCATGTTGTGTGTGTATATATCATTACATTATTGTTTCTGCTCCATTTCAAGCTATGTTTCAAAACTGAGTTGAGCTTAAACCCTGAATTTCAAATATTATAATGAAACACACATTTCAAAATTGGCTTGAGTTCAGTGCCTAAAGTTCAGACAATAGAAATCCATGAAGTATGAGTATACAGTTCCAGAGAGCAGATTGAAACTTAGGCAAACACCTTATAAGTCTTGCTCACAGCACTAAATTAGAGTTCATAAGTGTTGGTTAAACTTTTTACATGGCACTGTCGGCCTGAAAAAGAAAAGCCAAACCAAAAGCAATTATTTTTATTTCATGACCCCTCACACAGAAAAACTCCTCCCAGTCTTTAAGCTTTCTAAAAGCTCATTTTATAAACACTACTCTGCAGCTGACCAAAAAAGGCTTTTCAATAGGTAGCTCAAATAAAAAAATTTTAAAAAACAAAACAAACAAACAAAAAAACCCAAACACACGAGCTTTGTATACCTATGGCAGGAGGATGATTTCAACTATGAGTTTGTTGTCCCCTACAGTGCTGAAGGAAGCAAAATATTTTGTGTTCTGTATGCTGAGGGTGGCCCATTGTCTGTTGCCATACCAATGGTTTGCCCTGCCAAAGACTTCTGCGTTACATAAATAAGATCTTACACGCCCACACTTAAGCCACCTACACACCCCACCCACAGCTACAAATAAACCTGCTGTCACTGCCTCATCTCTGTGTAGGAGAGCCTGGAAATATGAGGAAATCACTCCATTAAGGGCAAGCTCCTTACAGATCAAAGCAAGGTTACTGAGCTGAGTAAACTTCTTATTGGTCTTTAAAACACTGTATGAACTGGGGTTTTGTCATTCAACAGGGTAAAGACAAACAGAAGCAAGCATCTGATCTGGAAAACTGTCTTTCAACCATTAAGATCATAGACTGCAGCGCGTACGATTTTTTCTGCTTTAAGGTATCAAAATACTCCGCATACTGTACCAAGGATACTTAAAGATGGGGATAAAAGTTTTGTGTTCTTTTCAAGTTACCATTTTTCACTACATTAATCTGGATATGAGACCTTTCTGCAAAATTAATGCATAAGCATAAGGTATATTTTTGTTGTTTGGAATGCAGGGGCAAGGGAGAAACTGTGAGTGTCGTAGGTGGTTCACAAGGGCCCTCACAACCACCTGGATTTTGCCAGGCTTCCAGACTGCCCTAGATCAAGGATGTACCACCTTCAGAAAAAGGCATCAAGACAACCCTCTCAGCAGTGCCTGCAGATCTGGGGAAAGAAATAGCAGCATCACAGAGATGCCAAATGTGGCACAGTCACCCCCACTGCTGCCCTAGGGGCGCATTCAGAAGCGGCCATGTAGAGGTCAGCGCCAACACCAAGGTTCAGGTGCAGAAATCCCACCAAAGTCTGTCTGCCAGACAAACAAGGCTCCTGGCCTCCAGGGCCCCCAGCCATAGAAACACCAAGCTTGAGCTACCAGGGTGATATTCAGATAACCCACACCGAACACCATCCCTCCTCCAAAGCAAACTTTTTGCTTCTCACAGCAGGCTGTTATATGCAGTTGCCCATAGACTTGGTTGTTGAGGACTCCTGTCAGCACCTAACTTATATGTGAACATCTGACTTTGGAGCAGGTCAGGAAGGTGATAGTGGCCACCTTAGGACTAAATAAAACAGTTTCCAAGTACCTACGAAGACCTAGTCCTTTGGTACCTTGATTTTACCATCTGGAGAATAGGAAGTTATCATCCATCCCTGCTTTCCAGTAGCAGCAGCAGCATGACAGATTAAATTCCTTAGCATTTGCAAGCTGCCGACTGTTTTTTGATACAGCATCCTACAAACATAGACTATCATATTGTATTACTTTCAATTTAGTGTGTTTATATTATAAATATTTTGGAGGAAAATGTCAGGGTTTTTAATCTTTTTAAAGGAATCTTTAAGCTTTCAGAAGAAGAATCACTAATACTGGAAGCTGGGCTCTTTACATGGGAAGTAGATCATAGATTCTTTTCATAAGGTCTGAAGCTGTTGATGCAACAGTCAGTGCTTTTCTTTCTTCTTCACTCAATAGAGTAAATCTTGGCATGAATTTATAAAGGCACAACAGACTGAGCAGAAAGATGTCGACAGCCGGTTAGAAGTGAAAAAAGAAGCAGCAGTGTGGGAACTTTTCACAAGTGAATGCACTTACTTTCTGGATCATTTGCTGGTTCTCAAGATGGTAACTTCAGATTTCATTTCTCAAAAATAATGAAACATTATTTGCCCTGCTGTCAGCATGGCAGACATAAAGCCACCGGTAACCTCCCATTGGGTGTCTATGGGGAATGACTTAAGCACTTGGTTTTTCTCCTGTCTTGCTGCTCATCCCGTTTCCACAATTCTCTTTGGTTTTTATCTTCTTGACAGCATCTCTTCTTCCGGACATCACTTTCTAGTGCTTTAAAAACACCATTTGATTACAGATCCTTCCAGTAATTTCAGCTGATGCTCCACTTTTCCTCTCACTAACTCTGAACTGAAGCCACTCTCCAGTTGACTATACTGGATATTTCTCTACCACTAGTCTGTAACATTATATTCTTCGTTTAACTTCCTACACAGCTGTGGTTAGATTATCCTGACTAGAACATGAAAACCTCAGAATTCAGCAGACCTGTAGTTCTAATATTACAAGAAAACAAGAAAACTAAAAAACAACTCCTCTCCCAAAAACTCCAAATTGCCTCCATCCTGGTGAATTTTAGGAGCTTTGCAATATGGACAAGAATACTACACACTGTTACAAGAATAGCTGCACTATTTGTTTTCATCACACATCAAAAGTTAGTGTACCCATTTAAAAGGATGGAAGCTTCCCTAAACATCTTCCTATCATTTTTCTCTTAGTCTGCAGAAACAATTTCTGTTTTATTAGTCAAAAGAAAAAGATTAGTGAAACATTTTTCATGTTGCTGAAAAGTTAGCCTAGGCAGTACAAGAAGTACTGCAAAGTAAAGGGAATAAAGAGAAGAGTGGGTTGAATTCCTCCTTGGTGGGGCAGAACAGGAGGGGAGAGGAAGGGGGACAACAGGACCAGCTACAGGTCCAAGGCAGGATGGAAGTGTCCTTCCTTCAACCCTTTCTTCTGAGAAGATAAAACAACGGGTGAATCCTGGGAAGAGTGAGGACATGCAGGTCCGTTGGTGAGCCTGATGTAGGAACCCACAGACAAGCTTTAGCCAGCCCTGTGTGACCCATGAATGGTAAACTACTCAGTCCATGCCAGCTTCCCAAACTCTTCTGCCAAAGAAAGAACCCATTGAATCTGGGTAGCCAGTTTTACAGATACCTGTTACTCTAATACTTCCCAGTACAGAAATATTCCACTGATTTTAATGAATCTCCACAGGGAACTTTAAGACTACCGTAAATCCCCTTTAAGCTCTCAGATCAACTGTTCATGGCAACTGAAAAATTACACAAGGCTAAGCAAACACTCTCACTAGCTCTTCAGTCTTGGCACCTAGGTGATGGATTTTTTCATTAATACTTTTCATACATATAACACAAAATTCTACTTGGTAATCTACATTTTATAAGCCTTTTTCAGATTTAGGTCATATTGAGTACAGCTCCAAGATCACCATCAAAGCTTAAATAATATAAAATCTTAAACGGCCAATAAATAAACATGCAGTTTTCACTCAATATGGGTTAATAAAACAATCCAAAGAGATACAAAACCTTTATGAGCCCTCTACTATTCCAACAACTTTTTTTTTTCCCCATAATAACTCTATAAACAACTTATATAGCAGCAGATGCATGGGGCAGGAAGGAAAGCATTTAGAAAGGTCATAGAAATCTGTAACTATGACTCTGATGTTATTAATTCCTTCACACAGATCTGCAGGGGGGTCAGTTGCCCCTCTTCTGCCAGAGAGCACAGCAGGGACATAGCTGCCTCCGTGGCAGCCACAGAGACATCCCACAGACATCACTCATACCCTCCTCTTTGCACAAAGCTCAATATTTAGCCTTCAGGCAGGTCAAGAAAAGTTTCTCAGAGTGTTGTCTTCTGCCCTCCCCCAATCAAATGATCATTTCATGAGAATTACAGTGCAAACATGTTCTTTTCAGGGGAAAAAGAATAATATTGAATTGTCACAGATAGTAAATAACATGGATTTGTTTTGTTTTTAAAGATATTCATGAACACTCTAAAATACCTCAAGAGTAACGAATTTCTCTTGGATGTGGATTTGTGGAGACTTTTCTCAAACTTAGAGGAGTTAAACAAGGTGAGTAAAATAGAAAAGTCTTACTGAGATCAGAAATCAACCAGCCCAATAAAAACAGATAGGAAACCATCCATAAAGCTTCTATTCAGATTCAATGCTCACATTTGGAACTTAGTTCAAATAATTAGTCTTTCCTTCATTTCTATTTGGTGTATCAGTGGGGGTCAAATTTCACCAGTGCAAATTATTCTCATATGCCTCCAGAAAAAGATAAACAGGCATTTGACCACAGAGGAGAGCTCATTTGGCAGTTGTTTCTGAAGTAAACACAAGTTTCAGGCTAATTCTCACAAGCAGCATCCTTTTAAAAGGATATGTGAAGATAAACTCCAACTGCACAATCCTCACAGCAAAACAGGAAGAATAGCAAAATAACTACAATAACAACTTTCCTTTCGCAAACAGATGAGCACAAAGGCTTTGTTATCTATTATACCACTCCTGTAGAGCAAGTTAAAACAAAATGATGACCACCCCTCTCCAGCTGGGTTTTCCCTTGGTGTGGGTGGAAGGATATCTCCCACACAGACTGAATGCTCTGTGTTTATGTACTACTTACCCTCCAGCTTCCAGGAGGAGGGAGACCACAAGGCCTGGCTGTGATGTGCTCCAGCTCTTTGCTACTTGTGGCCAGTGGCTGGGAGACCATTTTCAGAGCCTGAAAATTAAAGGAACCCATAAGTCCAAAACAGCTTCTACATAACTTTAGAAGCAGAACAGATTTTTTTTTTTTTTTTTTAGCTTGAGAGCTCTTTTACAGGATACCTCACCATTAGTAGCAAAGTAAATTTTGGAATGGGCTCTTCAGTTGCATAAGTTGAATAATTGCTCACAAGCCCTAAACCAGTTGCTTACTTCAAGTTCTTTCCCTTATTGCAATTCCCTTTCCTTAACAGTTAACATCTCCCTTTTTAGCCAAAACAAGAAAAGCAGGAAAGCTTTTCAGAGTAGGGACAATTAGCCAGAGTTCAAACACATGAGCAAGTCACCTCTGCCCAGTGACTGACCACACACCAGGTGAGCTGCTGTGAGAGACCACCTGAGCAGGTTTGGAGATACAAGGAAAGAGATTTTTAGCTGATGTGTTTCACCTTGTGCTTTTTGTGGCCTAAGACCATATATGCAGCCAACTACGAGAGTTCAGTTGATGTGTGGTTGCTGATTCCTTTGTTCTTGTTCAAAGAAGGGAGTGGGGTATATTGCTGTGTGCTATTTAACAAGCACAAAAGCTTTGAGCTTGGCTGGAGCTTGGTCATGTCTTGAGAGAATTATCTTTAATATGTTTTGTATTTTGTTTTCTAATTTTGATGTCCTTATGAATGAGGATGATAAATGATTATCTATTATGCATACTTGTATATAAAATAGTGATCAAATGTAGGAGAAAGCAGCTGCTCTCAGTGCCTTTTATGCCTTTTTTTCATGCATTTTACAGCATGTATTTCTTCTTGACAGCAGGCTGAATCCATGAAAAAATGCATGCTGTAAAAGGTGTAAAATGCACCCTTGTCAAAATGAAAGAATAAGTATCGTCCTATAAGCAACCCTGCCCCCATGAATACATGAAACAAAGCAGTGTGTGTAGCTACAACAGCAGTTCATAGCAGTATCGCAGAGGATGATGTTCCCATCTGGCCTAAAATTGGGCCTAAAGCTGAGCCTGGGAATGAATTTGTGAGCAAATAGTGTGTTCAGGAGGCAAGTGTGGGCTTAGGAGCAGGCTTTCACCCACATCGGACTGACAGTGTGAGCACCCTTGAAGCCAGTGCAAACATATAAAGTTAACTTATGGGGAATATGTGACTTTTTATAGCATTTTATAGAAATTTCCCTCATCTTCAATAGCATGAAACAAACTTAAGCTATGAAAGATGGTATCTTCTTCAAATGACCATGAAGACTTCCTTAATTGTCACAGCTGTCATACACAATCAGTGTTTTCCAGTAGATACCATTCATCTATTGTAATTTTTCATATCAATTCATATTAAATACAGCTGCTACCCTAAAATAAGTTTAAATGGAATAACTAATCTTGTTTCAAAGCTTTTGTCATATGGCATTATCATGACATAAGTGGGTATTTGTATAGATTTGTTTTAGCTTCTGACTAATTAACGCATTCCAGGTGTAATTCTGAAGCTAATTCTGGCAATGTCAGGGAGATAAGTATAGGTACCCCATTAGGCTTGGAACCTTCGAAGAGACGAGGGATGGGAAATAAAATTGTTTTAAACTTAACTTCAGAAGATCACTGAGGCTAATTTTTCTTTTTTTTCCCCCCTGACTTAGATAAGTCTCAGTTTTCTGAAAACTTTTTTTGAAACTGTGAAGGAGCATATCAGCAAGTCAGACTCTCCTATGGATTTCAGCTCCATACTCAGAAAGGTAACATAATTAGAAATATTCTTGCTTAATATCAGTAGGTCCTTGCAGCAAAACGTTTATCATAACACACAGGTGCTTTAGAGCAATCAAGTCAGTCAAGGACATGCCATCTGTCACAGGCAGTTTGGTCTCAGCCTCAAGCACCTCCTGTCAGTAGGATGTTTTTGTTTTTCTTCATTGGCACATTTGAGGTGGTCATGCAAAGATGCTCTGTATGTGGCACAAAGTGTGGAAAGATTTTCCCTTCCTGGAGAACAGTAGCCCAGACCTTGAGGAGACTTTGCCACTGGCAGAGGCGAGCTTCTCACTCTATGGAAGATGTTTCCCAAAGACCAGACCCCAGCCCCATCGCTGGATGTTCCCTGCCTCCTTCCATTCCATCACATAGATCCTTCCTTTACTCCATGACCAGACCCACAAGTGTCTTTAAGTGCTTAATTAAGAGCTCAGTGGAACTGAAATACCTCTTGCACTTTGGCCTGTGTCTGTTAAGCAAGAGAGAGGCATAGACACAGCTGTTCTGCTGCTGCCAAGTGCTGCCCTGCAACCCTTTCAGGCAGTCTGCATGGGAAACAAGGCAGTTGTCCAAAAAACAGTCTCCAGCACAACTTCCCAAAGACTGAAAAGTTGGAAAAATTAATACAGACAGAAAATCAATTCATGGACCTGAACTTTCCCTAGCAGTAGAGGCTGTTAGAAAACTTCTGACAAAATACTAAAACAGACCCTACCTCAGGGTTAGGGTTTTAAAAAGGGAAAGGGAGGCTAGAGCTTGGCTTTTCACCCCCATTACCTCTGACTTCAGGTGTTCTTATCGATAATGTTTGTGTGAGACAGACAAAATCCCAGACAAAACTGAGTTTTATCACGGGCGGCATTCAACATTTCTAAGAGCTATCTAACACGCTCGGATATAACGTGACATGCTATATGAGGCCACATAAAGCTGTTGCATAGATAGTGGGTTTTATCTTCAGCTTCTACATGAACTTCACATCATTTATTTCTAACGAGAACAAAGTCTAAGAACGTTTCACACCTCTGCAGAGCTGTTAGAACTGTGCTCCCATGCATTGCTTGAGCACTGTTGTGGTTTTTTTACTACTTTACCACTTTTACTACTTTTTAACTTGCCCTTTGCTTTTTTAACTCCCCCTTTTCCTCTTCCCCTGTTTTCCTTGGTGTGAGGAAATCTCAGGTAAAATGCACGTTACAGAACCAAAACTGTTGTTCCTCCCTTTGTCATGACATTTTTCTTTCTCGATAAGTTTCCAAGTCTTTTCTGCAGTTTTTCCAGGGTGACCTCTGCCAGACACACCAGATTTATTGCCTTAATTATACCTCTGCTGTCTTCTACTTGGAAAACCTGAGACAGAGGGAAGATTTTGGCATCTACCTGAAAGTAAAGTGATGGTTTTGTTGTTGTTGTTGTCTTCAGCCTTCCTGCCTTATGACAAGATTTTAACAGCAGACTAGGAAAGTTTATTGGAAGCAAAACTGTGTATTTTACATAGCATTTTACACAGATTTTTTTAACTGCAGAGGGTATCATATATATGAAGTCACGCTTCTGAGTGCATGTTTCCCTGCACATATGAAAGTCCATACTTGTAATTTAGAACAGGCAAGAGGGGGAAGCCAAAAGGGAACAACTGGCTGCATTTTTGCAGGCAGAAAATATGTACTGCCAGCCTCTATCATTCAGATGTCTCGCACATAATCTCTTGACTTGGTGACTTCCACCTTAACAGAGTGAAATGGTTACAGAAAAAAAGAAAAAAAATCAAGGCACATTGTAAAATCTCTCTCAAGTGTTTTACTTTGTTACATGTCCTGCATATCAGCTTGGTTTAGATGTTGGGTGGGACCACAGCATGTAGGGTATTATGTGCTTTAGCAGACGACAGGGCTCACATTCCCTGAGTACAAAACAGCCCCCAGCCTCTGTGCTATGCCACATCAGCAGTGACATACACAAACCTCAAAACTGGAGAAGCGTATGATGGCTTCCTTCTGCTCAAGGAAAGGGGTATATGATACAAGCCAAACCAAGGGGAATAGGAATCTAGCAGCATGTCAGTGCTTTCATGTGTCTTGGGAGCCTGTGGTGAGAGAGCGGGGTGGGTTTTGGCTGAGCCCTGGCAAGAAAGCCGGGCTGCTTTCCTTGCTCATGGGTATTTGCTGAGCCATGTGCCCGCAGGGAGGAAGCAATGTCCTGGATAGAACAGCAAGCAACCCCTCTGCAATGCCAGTGTTTTAGCTCCTCTGGCAGGTTTTGCATAAAGCAAATGTAAAACTTGGTATCAAAACACTACCAGTAAGTAAGCATTTACCTCCTTCTAAGCCTGGAAAGAGCAATCAGTGATGTCTTTGTAAAGTTACAGCCCTAGAGCAGGTTCTGTCTTCGCCAGCTCCGCATCTGCCTGAAGCAATAACTCCAGCCAGTGCAGCGGTGGGGCTCCCGGAGAGAGGGCTCCGCTCTTTCTGACTTATCATTAGCAGACCAGTGTGTCCTGTAAGACTTAAGATTGATCTTCAACATTACAGGCTTAGAAAAAGAAACCTGAAGAAGTGGGCTTTTCTCACAGGCAGCCCAAAACTGGGAGGACACCTTTCTCACAGGCAGTCAAACTCTGTGGCTTTTAGGGCCTGGGAGTTTCATATCGCTTGCGCCCTGACAAGGATTTCATACACTCATGCCTAGGAAAAAGTTCCCTAGTGGGTAGTAGCAGGTGACCCTAAAACATAAGGTGGCCCTCAAACATAACTGAGGTTTTCCTGATGAAATTAAAATGGCAGATAAGTAAGAGCACTGCTTGATCTGCTAGCACGGCCACAGCATCTGAAATGGGAAGCAGCAATGCAGAAAGTGAATCTGGAGGAGCAAAAATCATAAAGTTGATCTTTAATCAGTCCCTATCTCATCACAGTCAGCTGATGATGCAGAAAACTGTTTGCTACCTTCCTGCCAGGGAGCAAGGTGAGGCTTAAGGCAGGTTTTCCTTGTCTTCAGCAGTGGTGTGAACAAAATGAACAGTGCAAAAGGCTGCATCTGCCAGAGCTGCTGGTTGCTCCTTTGCATCGACTGACGCGTTATCCCCTCCTCCTTAACAACATCTGGAAGAGGAGCACTGATGAGACAGAGAAAGGCTTTATCTGGTCACTCAAAGAGAAGGTGGAAAAGTCCATACGTAAGTAGCTAAGGTTAAAAGTGTCCAATTAACAATTAGCAAGTTATGTGGCTTTTTTGTGCGTGTCCTTTGATTGTGAATGGGTCCAGTCTCCCTGCAGAGATGCAATGAGAATGTGCATGCCTTTCTACAATCCTGAGCCCTTCCTCATTCTGTAGGAAATGATTGGTGCCACCCCTGTGCTGTCAAAGCCTCTCTGAGCAAGGTCACAGGACTTCCAAATCAGTGAGTCACTTGTATTTGCTCAGAATCATCTGCAGTGACATGCAAACAATTAAAAGCAGATCACAAATTGGAACAAATCAAGAAAGATCTCAAACAAAAAAGTCTTTGAGTTGGATTTATGTCTAGGGAGGATTTGTTGGGGCTAATCCCTAATAGGATAAAATTGCACTCACAAGGGGAATATTATGTCAGTGACCTTTCACTAAATGACAGGGTCCTACCACATAAAGTAGCTGAAGAGCTATGTCAGCTACAGATTTTCTCTAGCTATTGTGGAAAAAGAAGGGATTGGCCCAGGAATTTTTTTTCCCCCTGCATTTTAAGTAAATAATTTATTAATTCCAAATAATTAATTAATTCAGTCTTGTTCAGGAAGCTACAAATGCATCTCTAAGCGTCTTATGGTTTATTCCCCAAAAGCCTCAGGCAGTCCCCACTGAAATCAAAGACAAGACAGTGCATCAGCAAAACACTTAGCCTGCCAGTCTTGGCAGGGGGAGAGGTGCCAGGCAGCGCTTCATCCTCACCAGCAGCACACCAGGCCTTGAGCCGCCCAGCATGGTGGCTCGCTCTCTGCCACCATCCTTCTCCCCGTCCTGGAGGCTGAAGGCTCCAACATCTCCTTGGGAGATGAGCCAGAGAGAGAGTTTGTCTTCTAGAGAGAGATACATCTGGGGCTCCTTCTTCTTGGGTAAATACTCCAATGACAGAATTACCACCTAAAAGAAAGGCTCGGGTTCTTCCTCTTCTTGCCAAATCTTATGAGGAGTCTAGCCTAATGGCCACACAAGGAGCACACTTTTCGGCACAGAACGCATCCCATAGGAAAATCAGATGGTTTTGTCACTAGCCTGGGGACTTCTGCTGGGAGGACAGTAGTTTTAGGGGTGGCCCCAAAAGACCATGGGATATCTAGGGAGTATTACTGGCAAAGAAATAGGTCCTTCCAGAGTTTAGGTACCTCTAGGCCAAGGAAACCAAAGACAGAGGGGTGACCCCTCTTTATTCACAGACACCTGACAAAGATCTGCCTTCATTTTTTGATCAGTGAATCAGTGACATAAGGAACAGTTGCAGTCCCAGCATTCCCCTTTGGGTGTATACGTGTGTGTGTATATCTGAAACCATTATTTGCAACATCACTCAAGACAAAAACTTGGAATTTAAGTTGCAGGTCCATTAAAGTTTTCCCCATACTGGCCCTGAATCAGCAAAGACTTAGTCCCCATTTTTCACATTCTGAAGCACCCTCATCTCACTTAAATACTTCAGTCACTTCTGGCACCACTTCCCCTGAAATGAATTCTCATTAATTTCAACAATCCTTTGATCAAGCTGTATATAATGAAAATTATTTTTCTCTCACTACCCCAGACAATTTAGAAATGCAGGATTTTTTTTAAAGAACTTTTCAACATTACAGTTTGAGTTTTATATGATTCCCCCTGCTCCGCAGTCAGATTAGTAAACACAACCTTTTCATTTAGCAGTGAATTTAAGCATGTTTGAATGCATGGTTTGAAATTCTGGCTCTGCTGACCTAAGAAGAGTTTAGACATTTTTTACAATGAGGCCAAGGTTTCATCTGGGGCTTCACATGTGAGGTGCTTTGGCTTCCACTAGAGAACATCAGTATTCAACATCTTCTAGAAACAGGACTGGTTTTGCCAGCCTTGGCAGTAACTGATGTTTCACTTATTTCAGGGGATTTGGAAGGTAAAGTCAAGTGGTTGGACAACTTTCAGAAGTTCCGGCAGCTGCAAGAGGTCATAATTTGGCCTCAGGTCTGGGATCGTGACAAGAGATTCTTTGTCCCAGAGGTAAGCAGTTTTTTAAAGTTATTTTTCCTTGAGGAAGGTTTAGTTTCCTGTCTATCTTCATAGCATCATCTAAAGTTGGCTGGTTGTCTATGTTCTAGTTACTGGGGATGGCTCTGCTCTAACAGGAGCAGCTGCAGCTGAGCACTGCAAACACTGCAGCTGAACATGCAGGCTGTGTACTGTGCCTTGGACGGCAGCACGGGTTGCTCTCAGCTAGCATCCAAGAGAGTACGATCGTATGATCCAGGAGGACTTCCCAGTGTTTGCTTTTACGGGGCAGAATGAAATAGGATAGATTTAAGTATTACTACCTTTTTATAAGGATACGAAGTAGAAATCGTTTGCCTCTTTCACTCCTCAGGCTGAGCCACAGAAATTTCTATATACATTTAAATAGCATTACAAAAGAAATCCCGAGCATACCGGGGAACACGTGCACCTTTCTGCTGTGGTTACCCCCTTACCCATACAGACAGGCTTTAAGCAGCATTATGGTAACATCATCAAGTGGGTCTCACCTCAAAGATTATGTCTGCTCACATGCAGGCTGCAAAAACCGTTAAACTCACTCCGGAAAAAGAAAAACCCAGCTTAACATTTCAAAAGCATAAACACATTTAAGCAATAGCACTGCTGAAGAAACACAGCCATGCTCGGTTATTAGCTGTGTGATGTATTTAGCCTGAGATAAGAGCACACATGTGCTCAGTTTGTTTAACTGCTGGTTGCCTCTCAGTTCATCATCAGATATGCAAGATTCCCCATTCTCTCTCTCTCTTTCTCTTTTTTTGGGGGGTCAAGTGTTTGAAGCAAAGCTTAAGAGAAAACAGCAGTGAAAACGTTTTGTCTTCAGCGAACAGACTTCTCCTTCATGAAGGGAGGCTAACACTAGCAGGTAACATCCCTAAATGTTCTGCTATCGGGAGTTAGCTTAACAGAATCATATTTTGTTATGGCAGGTCCAGAATGAACCTCTGCAACAGTATTTGGGCAGGTGTGGGAAAGAAAAAGCAAATGTACAATTTGTCAGAGAGAGACTGAGAAGCAGCCAAAGTGCCAAAAGGATGAGTAATCTGCATGATTGTTTATTGTCACATCTGGATATTCAGTCTGCCAGGTGCTGAAGAAATCAGCTTGACTAGCCAATACCTGCCACTCAAAGGGAGCATTTTACTGTCACGTTCAAAAATGTGGCAATAGGAAGTTTAGACTGTCCTATACAAGGTGCCCCACGTGCCCGGGGACTGATGTCAACATACCTCACCTCTCTGGCACCATATCCACTGTGTGTTTCATTGAAAATTACTGAAAAGTCCAGAGGTTTTTCCTATTTTTATTTCATACTTCATGTCTGCTGTTTTGATGGATACCTTGGAGCAAGAAGGTGTTATCCTGCCAGGTGGCTTCCCTTTTATGAACAGAGCACTCATACAACATGCCATTAACTCCTCAGGTAGCACAGTGGTCCCACGCAAGCATGTTGATTTCTACAACGCTGCTCGCAGCTGTCTGTCACCCTGGCAGAGCGAGACTCACGTCTCCAGACACACAGACACCATTTTGCAGCAGAGCACAGGTTGCTTGCTGGGGAGCTGCTGCAGCACCTCTGCCTGCACAGGAGAGGAGGATTTCGTCCTTGCACGAGCAGGAAGCAGAGCCTGGGCAGTTTGGAGAAGACCAGCATCTGAAAGGATGCTGGAAGCTGTGTGCCACTGTGGCTGCGGGGCTGTAACAACGGTTTGACAGAAATGAGCACAGCCTGTGTCTTACATTTCCTTCACTATCTTTTCAGGAGAAGAGGTGAAGAGCATAAGCATGCAACCCTTTCTGTCTCCCATCACCGTTATTACTGTTATAAAGGGAGCAGCAAAAGGGACACAGTCCATTTTTCAGTGTTTTTGTTTTCCTTCCCACGTGAGATTTAGAGTAGCAGAAAAGGCAGCACAGCATCAGGGACATGGAGAGCAGAAGAAAAGGTTGCTGCTGATGTTTAGGGGGTGGCGGGCAGATAAGAAAGCAAGCCACTGAGTCCTCTCCTGCCAAAGCTTCCCTCTGCACTCATTGCTCTCTTGATGAGACGTGAGCCCCCAGTGCAGGAGGTAAGGGTGGCCATCGGGTGGCCGCATTCCTTTCTGCAATACGTAATTAGAAAATGGAGAAGGAGGTATGAGCATAACTCTTACCCACCAAGAGAGCCAGCTGCCTGCAATCTACAATATAAAAGTGCCTGGCATTAGGCCACTTGTCTGAATGAAATATCTTTCAAGACAAAAATGAAATCACAAGCCAAATATAATGCCGCACAACAGAAAGAAGCATGTCCTAAAGTCACCGCTCTGATCAGACTCACACAAATTTGGTGTTAAGGTGAACTGCGTTTGTTTGAATGAAACTGAGATCACCAAGACCACAGGTGCACGATTTTTTGTAATCCTGTAACTGAGAATAGGAGCAGCTGGGAGAAGTGGGTTTGTTCAGATGTAGGAAGGGAAGGCTCAGGGAAGACATTACTGTTGTCTTCAACTGCCTAATGGCTGGTTTAAGGCAGATGGAGAAATATTTTGAAGCATTCCCACAGACATTTGTTGTTATGTTCCTCACATGTTATGTTCCATCACGTGACCTCTAAGTTAGGAAGAAAAGATAAGCCAACACTATTTTGTGTAGTTTTTGAAAGGCTTTTGTGATACTATCAATTAGCATTTCATCCCTGCAAAAGCCTGTGAAGAGGGCAGCATACCAGTATTTAAAGGTACCAGGTAAAGGTGGCACTTCCCTATTTCTTTATCTCTGCCATTTTCAGAAGGTTCACTGTTTACCAGGTAGGATTTGTTACTTTATAGTGTGCTAATTGTTGTATTTGTAGGTACTCCAAGTGATCCAGGTCACTTTTCCTGGCAGGCAAGTAGTTGTTTTTTCATAACGAGGTAGCTGCTACAAGGTACAAGTATTAGTAGCCAAAATCATCAAGGAACATATGATTTTTTTTAAGCACTGCATTTGAGAGTGCAGACAAGGGGATGAGTAGTTGTGTACTATGTTGGAGACTATGCTTCTTTCCTAGAAGCATTTTGTAAGATGCAATGATTCATAGATGTGCCTCATCTTAGAAGTAGCAATTCCTTAAAATAACTACACCATCAAACTGATTTTTTTGTTTTCCTCCTCAGAAAGCACAAGACTCCTTGATGTCTACCTCTTCCTATTCGATGATTTCCTATTAATTACCAAAATTAAACGTAACAAAAAGGTAATAATGAATAGAGAGATACGTGTTTGCAGTTGTCACGTTTTTTAGCTTGGTAAATATTTTGAAAGTACTTTGGAAGATTGATTGAATGATAAAAATACAAGATGACTAATCGGCATGAAGGACAGGTGATACTTCTTTATGCTAATAGCAAACCATAACACGGATTCAAACCCCTCCTTCTAGGCTCAGTATGTTACAGGAATACCATGACAGGCAGAATTTACATTGCAAGACCTTAATATTTTCCTGGTGTTATTCTGATGTGCTGGATTCCTGAAGCTCAGAAAAGTTTCAAGAATATAAGAAGTTTTCTAATGCTCCTCTCATGACTCAGTCCAGCAACCTGAGAAATTTTTATCCCAAAGATATCAGAACTGTTGGAAAGAAGTTAAAAAAAAAAAAAAAAAAGGAAGAAAACAGGGAAATGCTAAAATAGATGGAAGGTTGGTTTTGTTTTCAGTTCCAAGACAGCCTGTTGTATGTGTCCTGTCTTTGCGTTGATTTCCCCTAGTTTAAAGTGAGGATATAATGACTCTTGTTAAGAAAATTTTTATTGATGAAAGGTGGTATAGAGAGAGTTCTATAGATGATAAATATCTGTATTTAGCCAGCAAAAAAATGCACTGGATGACCTGAAAATCCTAAAGCTTCAGTGCAGGAATATAACTAGCTAATTAAGTTTATGAAGATGATGATTTAAAGACTTCTTGGCTTTTTTTTTTTTTTTTTGAAGAAGCACCTGTTCTGCCTTCCTAGGAGATAGAGAAGGCATGCAGTGAGAGATGGTAGAACAGCAGGGCCATCCCATAGCACAGAGGGAAATGAAGGGAGCAGGGATTCAAGGGGCCTGGTGCCCACAGACAAATCTCTCTGAGGGCTGCCCCATGTACATGTATTGGTGAACCTTCTGTGAGGGGCTGCAACCCATCTGGAGCCCCGGCAATTGTGTGTTCTGCAAGTATGCAAGGGGAGATGGGGAAATGCACCTCCAAAGAACGGAGAAAAAGCCCTGCTATTAAAAGAAGGGAGGAGGGGCAGAAGGAAGGGGGGAAAAAGACTTTTGAATACCTTTGACTGTCTTCTGCCTGTGGACTTGTATTGTGTTTCTATGGTGGTTTTTTAGTACAAGGTGTGACCTTGCAGGAGAACTCCAGGCACTGATGAGTTTTTCTGAGGTTCCTCAGGCAAATATGTTGTCTGAGCACCTTTGATAAGAGAAAACATATAATTTAGGGCTGTTTAGTGCCTATACTTCATGAGCAGATGGCAGACAACCAGCTAACCAACTTCATTGTCTATTCCCAGAAATACGGGGGCTCAGACACCAGCTTAATCCCTGTCTGTCCTTCCCTCGCTCCTGAGCTGCAGTCCTTCGTAAGAGAGGGTGGGTTTTGCACAGTCCTAGACCAGCCCATCCCACTAGACAGACTGATACTGAAAAACATTGACTCCGTCCATGTTACAGGTACGTGCCCGCGTGCATTTGAACGTCTTCATAAATACCACCTCAATGCATTGCGCACATGGCAGTGTGTAAGGATAAGATGCTGTTTGCCCACAATCCACCCCCAGATGCCTGGAGCGCAAACGTCGATGCCTCAGCACCGTTTCGCTTCACCGCTCTGCTCTTACTGTGAGGCATGACCTGCTAACACAGACATTACACTCCACATCCCCTGCCTCTAACAGTGACTTTAATGTACACACCAGCAACTGTCAGATATTATCCATTCACCCCAAAGGAGGTATCAAGACTCCAATGATTTCTTTTACATGAACCAAGTATTTCCTTGCCCTAACTGTCCTAACATGCTCTACCAAATCCCGGGCCTCTTTCCCAAGTACATTTTCAATTCTGTAGTAGTTACGTAGCATTTTTTCAGTTGTCCCACTGCCCAACACCCCAGCGCACTGCCCTCCTGCGTGTCCCCACACGTGCGTAGCAGCAGTTCTCGAGGAGGCTGGAGAGGAGATTTACCTCCTGCTGCTGCTCCTACTCACCTCCCCACCAGCTATCGAGAGGATGGAAATCACCCACCATAGGTCAACGCTTCCTCGCTCACAGACATCCAAATGCATTGCCAGGGGAAATTGCCCCAATAACATCTGCTGCTGTGTCCCTCGGTGAGGAGGGGAGGAGGACTGGCCTCCACAGAGAGTGACCAGCCTTACCCTGCCGAAACAACGTCCCTCGAGTCACCAAATCAGAGCTTGGGTGAGGGAGCAGGCATGAAAAAATTAGGCCTCCCCTTGGTCTAAGCCACTCATGCAGGCTGTCACACACCTCCATCTAACACTGCCCAGATCCCAGGAGCCTCCTATATCAAAGAGAAATAAAAGAAATGCAACTCTTCAGGCTCCAGGGCCTGTCAGCCATCCTGATCCTAAAGACTAGGAGGAGAAGCTCAGGGAGCTAGAGCGTTCTGTAGGAAATCAATCAATATGGAAAATAAACCTAGAGCCCATAAAATTTATAACTTTGAAATTTATTCACCCAGTGTAATTAGCATTCAGCCTCAATGCTGATAGGAAATAAAGGTAGGCAATAAAAGACAAATGACTAAAGATGAGATAAGGGGATGAACACAGAGAATAACAGTCCTTTTTTAAACGTGCTCCAGACAGACACCGCCTGTCTGCCTAACGAGTCTCCCTACCAACCCAGCAGAAAAGTAGCAAACACAGCAGCCGCCTCTCGCCTGCAGGGTGGAGGGGAAGGCAGCCTCACGTTCCTGCCTAAACACAGACTAGATGCAAGGTTGACAGCTTCTGGGTGCTGGAGAGGGTGGTGCAGCCACCCTCCGGTTTGCACATATAAGATTGGACATAAAAGCCATAATGGAGATGGGAATAAGATTTTTCGATTTTTTTCCAAGCCAGCATTTCCTACATTCAGAAATTTCTAACCAGGATCCTTCTATCCCCATGATCCAGCTGCAACCGGCAGAATAGAGAGTTACCTGCTGCATCCCAGCCCAGGCTCTTGCCACTGCCCTTCCCTGAACTCTGGGCATCATTGCCTGACTTCTCTCCCATATATTCCTACCGGCTTTATTACAGCTGTAATGGCAGCCTCTGTTACTTACCTGTAGTCTTGTAACACCCTGGAAGCCCCATCCTAATACAGGACCCCTTAGAGTGGGGTACAATAGAAATAGTGAGAAAAATTACTATAGGGAGCTTGCAGTTCAGATTTCCACCATTTTGTGTAAAACAACAAGCAAAACTTCCAGTGCCAATGGAAATGTCCCTTTGCAGCGAAAAGAAAAAAAAAAGAAAATATTAAATATTGTCAGGAATGTGTGACCTTGGGGAATGCTGCCAATTTATTTGCAGTCTCAAGGAGACTTTTACTGCTGATGGCAGTAAAAGATGAGTTAGCATGTTCTCGGAAAGGGCAGCATGTGAATTCTGGTGATCCATCATATTAATCAAAAATGAAACCCTGATTTTTGATCTAAAAAGTACTTTTGTATCCATTAGTTTGCTGAGGGTTGATCTCACTTTGGAAAGAAACGTACCTCAAAGCAAGGACTAGAAAAAAATATATATATATATTGTAGTATCATAGAAATACCCTTTTGGCAGCAGGCAGGAGGCTGATAATTAGGCAGGATAATTCTAGCCCAAAGCCTGCTATATATCAATGAAGGGATAAGAGATATAATGGTGTGCTCATAACACTGGGAAGCTACCCTAAAAGCAGAACTATCTGCAAACGCCAGGACCTTGTACAAGAGATGTAATTTCACATGTACGTGTAATAGCAGGAACCCATCTCTGAAGATCATAAGCAGCAACATACTTTCTGATTAGGAAATCGCTTTCCTTTTAACATTCTGCTCTGGATTTAATCTTTGCAATTACTTACTATTGCTCCGCTAACAACGCTTTATACCAAGTTTGAAGGAGTCAGACCCACTGGTATGTCGCTATATCAAAGACTGTTAATCTTCACAGCCACAGAATTTCTTTGAGAAAATTACTAAGCATTGCCCAGAAAATTCATTTTTAGAACTGTAAAGTTGTATTTCCCATTGCTGACAGGCAGACAGAAAGCATGAGGTCTGAAACATATCCCCTCTGCTGCTACAAATTTCCACTGCTAACTGATTCGCTGCAGTAATTTAACCAGTCTCTGCTCCCCTTTCCTTTTCTATAAAACCAGGATTGTAGGACACTATCTTCCAGAAACATTTTGAGGTCTGACTGTAGAGCACTTGGAAATGCTTGGACAAGAAGCATTACACAGCAGCAAGATATTCTACATAGTACAAGGCTTCAGAGCAAACTATATGAACTAGATAAGTTTATCAAAAAGATATGCCAACTGTAGTAGACTCAGAAAAATGCTGCCTTGTCTTGGCAGCTCGAGATCTGCTGTCACCTCAGGCTGCGTGGGCTCAGGAGCAGGGCTCCGCTTAGGGCAATCCCACACCTCGCTCACCGTTGCTTCATTTACAGCAACACCAACTCCAGCAAAAAAAAGCAACGCCACGTGAATCCAGTGCATTATAACAGGTTACTGTGCCCTCCTCCCTGCCACAACCAGCCCATCCAAGCACACCTGCTGTCTGCCACAGAATTTTCGCTACCTGAAGATGCTTTCCCCTCCTCTTCCCCCAAGCTTGCTTCGTAGCAGACTTAAGCCACCCCTTCACTCCAGACACATGATGTTGGTGCCGATTTGTCCCCTTGCAGGGAAACCTGCCCCATAATGCCCAAAGTCATCCACAGGACCCAGAAGATGCTGCTGTCACACCCAGAGTCACTGATTAACTTCTGCAGAAGTTAAGTTTGGCATGAACCGAAGGGCCATTGGCCACACGCCCGGCCCTGCGAGATGTTGCTGCCGGCAGCTGACCGGGGGTACCCCGGGCGTCAGAACCGGCTCGTGCACATGCCCCAGGGAGAGCCCACACCACCATCAGACCGAGTGCAGCCACTTCCCTACGTAGCAGCCATCGTATGGACCTGTTTGAAATCAGATAAAAATGGGGCCTTTCTCTTTAATTTTTGAGATTTGTTTTTCTCTAACTTCAGTTACGATTTATTCCACTTTGAATGGAAACTTCTCTTAATGATCCTCAGCTAGACTCAAAAGCACCTTAGCTGCACAATGATAAAGTAGTTAAAAATAAAACAAATGCAAGCAGAATTAACTTTTTGAAATAACAAAGCTTCCCATGCAACAAAAATCTAACCCTATCAGGGTGCATTGCCCCATTAAGAATCAGAAAACATGAATATGTATATAATTTCTTCAATCAAAATCAGAGAATGTGATATAAAATTGGACTGGCAGCTGCATGAGGGAATTGATGTCATTTCTCCCTATTTTTTCCACAGTCTTCAGCCTGCGAAATGCTTTCCTAATACAGCATGAAAATAGGTATCGTCAGTGCATAGCAGTCTTCTTGCTACAAGCTCAGACAGAGACTGCCAAGGTAAGTAGCACACCTTTTTTTTTCCTTCTCTAATTACACAACTGTGCTTTCCCTAAAAGAGGATTTCAGCCTAAAAGTGGCCGTGCTGTGCTAAGAATCTATTACAGTTGTGACATTTGACCAAAACCAAACCAAAACAAAACAACACCCCAGTGCTCTGGCTCACACATTTGTTACAGAATTTTTGCTGTTGAACATGTACCAATTTTATATCAAGGTTGATAGCAGGTCCTATTCTTGTTGGAAAACATTATCATTTCTGATTACTAAAAAACCCCCGCCATTTCATGTGTCACAGAAATGAAGATGGTCGCCCCTCCAGAGAAGTCAACACCAAAACAACCCCCCCCCCAACTCATATGCAGTAGTACTCAGATCAGAAAACTGTATCGTGCTCATCTACGCACGACACACATCTTGCAATTTCAGATTGAACAGATGGTATGATTAATTCCACTGTTATATAAATTTACCCCTCATTTTCACACCACATCACATTTCTAGTAACAGCGCTGTATATAACATCTGAAAGCGTGGCAGGCACTTCACAGAAGTATTTTTTTTCTCCTGTAAGTTGAATTTCATTCTCTAATACCTAATGCACAGAAATTTGGCTATCATTAATACAAATTCTTAAAAGTAAATCGCGGTAGATAGACTTTTTCAGGGAAAAACAATGAGTGAATTCTTTCCATTTCCAAGTCACTGGTTGGTATTTGGAATAAGTATCTACTACAGGTATCTACTCAAGAAGTCGTTACCTTCTCCTGTTATTGAAATATTACCTTTCCCTTCCAAAGCTGCCTTCAGACCAGGTGGCTACCATCTTCTCAATGTCTCCCAAGTCCAGCTTATCAAAGGAGAAAACGCTGCAGTGAAAGGTTCTTTTCACTTGGATGTGGTGGCATTATTGCATTTTGTTGATTTTGGGTGCTGTGAGCCCTAGGAAAGGTAGACTTTCCAGCACCGGTTGAATGAACTACCTTATTTCAGCTCCCAAGAAGCCCCATCTCAGCGTGATCAATATCTTTTCTTAAAGAAACTTTGCCAGCCAAGATGAGCTCATGGGTTTAGCTGACATGAGACAGCAAGCCGAATGAAGCCATACGTGTCATATTCAGGTTGACTTGTCCTAAGCAGAGGGCTGCTACGTTGCGAGCTGCCTCTTAGATCTCCTGATTTTTGTGAAGTGCCTGCCTCGGCTCCCGGCTCCCTTGCGAGGCCCAGGCTCACCCTGCCCACTTGCCTCTCGCTGCCATACTGCGCTCTACCGACTGCACGGGGAGCGCACATGATGCATTGAACGTAGATGCAGTGAATCCCTTGCCCCGCTCCCACCTCTCCCTCAGAGACCCGCTACTCAGCAGACACCTGAAAACACAGAACTGAAATACGCAGCTGTTGCTCATCCCACCCACACCGCTGTCCTGCCCTCTGTTCTCTTCCCCCCATCCCCTGCTCTCCTCCCTGAGCCTTGAAAAGCTCAATCATTTAAATTCTGCCTCCTGCGGGTCCACTGCCGCCTGGCAATCCCCTGTGTAACCACTGCACATCAGACCCTCCTCCACCAGCAGCTTCAGAGGGGCCAAAGCAACCACTCCATGCCAAAGCCAGGCTCTGTGCTCTGCCAGGCACATAGAGCTCACACGTGCGGACTCTTCTCGTGTCCTCTGCTAGGACTCCTTAGACCTGTAGGTCATCCAGTCTTGCTCTCCAGCTTTCTATTTTTCAAAGCCATGTTTTTAACTCGTTCAGGGTATAAACACACACAAGAAAAAACCAAATGGGTCAGTAACAAAATTTATGAATCCCAGCATAGCAAGAAGTAGAACAGGCTGCCCCTTCTCATGCGTTTCTACTCTTTTGCATCAAAGCTCAGTGTCTCTATGTGCATTACAGTAGGGAGAGCAGCTCCTGACTAGGCAAAATAAAAACCCCGGGGTGGGAGAAGCACAGCTAGACCTTAAGCTCGTATTGCTGCCAACTGATTTGTAATGTCTAATCATAGCAATTCAGAGACAACTCAGCTTCTGCGACTCAGACCATCTGGACTAGCACAGAGAGAAGGAAGTTATGTATTTTAACTCCATCTCTCCAGCCATCACCCCCTGCCCTCAAACCTGGATGACAGCGGATACAGAGCTGAATGCTGTCAGCATGATGCTAGAAACTGAAATTCATGTGGCAGCATGTGACAGATCTCGGAGAGGGACAGAACTTGTGATACTGATACCACTGGGGCGGTCTCAAGCAGAGGAACAGGGAGCCCAAACTGCAGGGACAGCATTAAACTAATAAGTATTACACAAAAGCAGGTGAAATAGCCTGCAGCAAACGTCACCATTACAAGCAAACAGAGCATTAAAATCCTACCTTCCAACCACAAAGGAAACCGTCACTGGAAATCCCTGGGCCCAGACACAGACTCGAGCGGTGTGTAGTGGCCTGAGCAATTGGGAGCGTCTCTGTTCTGGGACAATTCATGTTCACTTCAGGAATTATGAGCACGGGCCTGAAGAAAGGCTAAATAAAACGACAGCTCTGGATGTTTACGTATCTGAATTACTGGAACTTTTTTAGATTGTCTTCGTTTACAAATTATTTTTTCATGTTACAGAAAACATGGATGTCACAGATAGAAACGGCAATCTCCAATTACACCACGCGACACGAAACCAAGAACAGCACTGCTTTCTGCTTCCCAGCTGAATCCTCTGAAATTTAACGATGTCAGCACAGCACAGACAGAGCCAGTGGAAGACTACTGTGGTGCTAACACGGCTACTTCTTCTAGCACACCTTAAGTTTCTGAAGCTAACACATTTCTGACTTGACTAGACAGAAGTGAGGAGTTTTGACCACGGGATGTAGGCGTAAACTGGGGGCTGAAATGAGCCACGCAATAAATGTATCTTAGATGCTTCTTTGCTTCAGCTAGGGGAAGGCTCTTGCCATCCAGGGAAGCTTTAATGCAGCTTGTTGTTTCCTAGAAAGTGGGACAGGGGAAAAAAACCTACGTTGGTGAGGAGAACTCATTCACCAGAAAAGTCTAGAAGGGTTATTCCAAGATCACTCAAACTGTATTAATAAATTTCATGAAATAAGAATTGTGTAGCCATAGCTCTCGATAGTTATGCCTCTCTACGTACTAAACTATAACATCACAAGATATTTTTTGCATTAACATTGAGCTTGTAGAGGCAGATCAGTAAAAGCATATATTATAACAACTCCTCATTAATTTTTAAAATGAGATTAATTAAGTTTCTTTGAAAAAGGCCATAATTACATATAACATTCAGTTAAACTAGAGATGCTACGGAATATATAAAAAGAAAGAAGTGCAATGATGCCCTGCTTTATTAGGTTTTTTTTTTTTACCTGAGGTTTTTCACTTTATTAACAGCAGACCTGTCGTGCATTGTTTACACCCGTTGCAGCCTTTAGAGTTCAAGTTTTCTTCACAAACTCGAGTGTTCCTTTTGCATTAAATCATTGAATATTTCACTGCTGTCCCAGATCTGTGGTCCACATAGCAGAAGTGTGCCCCTGCTAATCATTTTATTTTTCCCTCTTTTTGAGGTAGTGGAAGAGACCCACAGAACAGCCCGAAACTGCTTGCCACAACATTCACGCAGGTTACTAAGACGGAGGGAGGGTGCTCTCACCAGGTTAGCCTTGGCTAATCCCCCGAGATTAGCCATAGTCAAGAGAAAAAGGGAGACTTCCCTAAAGCCACTCTAAGTGACGCTGTCACTTCTCCCACTTTCTGTCCCCAGTCAGCTAGTCTCCCTCAGGAGAAAAGTTAGCCCTTAGAGTACCCCCTCAATGCTGGAAATTACTTCAGGCGGAACCGAACAGAGAAGCCACACGGATGAGGACTATGCTGAAGAATGTAGGGGTGCCACTCCGGTTGTTCACATTATTCATGGGGAAGTCAGCACTCACTTCACATTCACCTCTGCTCCACAATCCAATTAGTCATAAGTTCAAGTGTTGCCCCTGACCCCACTCCTCCCTAGTTCCACCTGTGAGGATGTGGTGGTACATTTTATCCACTTGAGTTGCTTCACCTGTACATACAAGCTATGGTCTGGAGGCTGTATATATGTATGTACTTACCTGCTTCAGCACCCTCCAGATGCAGCCTAGGCCGCTGCGGCACACATTCATGCTCTTCG